ATTACACAGTACAGGTACTATGTAACAAAACGGTTTCTCTGCATTTGACCCATCCTAGTGTTAGGAGCAGTGGGCTGCCATTATGAACGGCACCCAGGGAGCTGTGTAGGGAACGGTGCCTTGCTCAGGGGCACCGTGGTAGCCGGGACTTGAACTGGTGACCTTCCAGTTGCCAATCCAAGTCCCTATGGACTTCGCCACCACGCCCCTTCTTTTTGTCACATTATTAATTAAATGGCATTCCCCTCACGTAGCTAAAGGAACAGGGACAGTAAAAATGGCCTTTCAGTCCTCCTGTAAAAAAGTCCTTGAGGTCAGTTGCATCTATTTGGGTTATAAATACACAACCTCCTACTTCCTCTCTAACCTTTAAAAGAAAACTTTCCACTTCACCGTCTTACTCCTTTCCCTCTCCAACCTCTCTATTATTTTTATTTCCCCTCGCTCTCTTGGCTCGCTGCTGTTTTGGTTATCAATGATTGCCTCAAATACCTTCCTCCCCCTCTCCATCACGAGGGCGGTGATGTTGTCATGTGCAGGGCGTTGCACCTCTGACTTTATATCGCTTTCCATCAGCAGGAAGTGCAGCAGGAAGCACATTTTTCTCACTCCTTCACACAGTCAGGTGGGATACGAGGGACTCACTTTCATCCTGAGCCCATGGACACTTTTTCTTTAAATCCATGGCCGCCCGATGAAATATGAATCAAAAACAGTGCTCCAGGCTTATGCTCGCATTGAAAGAAGCTTTAACTCAATTTAAAGTCTCAAAAGGGCGAGGAGCTGCTACATGTAGCTACCCTGCATGGCAGTGTTTGGATATCATATCAGGGTGTAAATCATGGATTTTCAGGACAAGAAACAAACTACACATATACGCAATGTCCTTACAGAGGTTTTATTTCCAGGGCTTTTTAAAGCTTTTTTCTCTGGAAGTAGGGCTGCTCGATTATGGCAAAAATCATAATCTCGATTATTTGGGTCAATAATTGTAATTGCGATTATTAAATGGGATTATTCATTGACTTTGAAAACATCCATTTATTGGAGAAGAACATTTGAACAGTATGTTTTTAACAGTTGATTACCCTGAACTTTAAAAAAAGTAATAATAATAATAAAATAATACTCGTTTTATTTCGATTACGTTGTTTTCGTAATCGTTGCAAGCCATAATCATAATTGCGATTAAAATACTAATAATTGAGCAGCCCTACTGGAACCTTTTCTTTTTGATAAGTGAGGTAAGGGTGTGGAAACCAGGGTGTTGGACGGGTTAGTACCATAGTGTATCTGCCAAAAAAAGAAGCTTTCCATAACATTAAAAGCTTAATCATAGCAGAATGAATACCGTATTTGCCATGTGCAGATATTGTATTTATACGTATAAAAACAGTAGCACTGAAAATGTAAAATGTTGTTTTTAACTTTTTACGTGTATTGCTTCTATGTTATTATCAGTTATGATGGTCGTCTTATTAGCTCCTACAATGTCTGGATTAGAAATACTATTATTTTACAAATAAGTCAGCTCATCGTAGCTCACCCTCATCATATAGTGGTTAGTACTCTGCGTTGTGGTTGCAGCAACCCTGGTTCAAAACCGGGACACGGTATTGTGGTACAATGTCAGGGCAGATGGGCAGTATTTGGGGTGGCAGTAGCTAGGGCTGCTCGATTATGGCAAAAAATCATAATCTCGATTATTTGGGTCAATAATTGATATCACGATTATTAAAAACGATTATCCATTTACTTTGAAAACATCCATTTATTAAAAAAAAAGTTTGAACAGTATGTTTTTAACAGTTACCCTGAACTTTAAGTATAATTCAAATGAAAAACCAATACAAAACAATTATTAAAAAAAAGAATAGTTTTATTTCGATTACGTTGTTTTCATAATCGTTGCTAGCCAAAATCGTAATTGCGATTAAAATATGATTAATTGAGCAGCCCTTGCAGTAGCTCAATCTGTAGGGTTGCTGGTTCGAATCCAGATGGACCGAAGAGACCTGCTGAACTGCCCTTGAGCAAGGCACTGAACCCCCAACCGCTCCATGTCACCAGAAAACCGGGCAGTCTCTTTGCTCTGGCACCTCTCCATAAAAAGTGTCTATGCATGTGTTCAGAAGTTTATTTGAAAAACTGAATTATAGAGAATAATAAAGGGTTATCTTCCATCTTCTTTTTGGACATTACAAACTAGGATGGACTGAATATATTTGGAAAAGTAACCCATACATAATGTATTAGTAGTGATTCATCGTTTTCCAAATCGCTTGTATTGTTTGAAATCATTATACTTGTATCATAAACACTTTTCATTCATCTCCTTGTCTCAGTTTATTCTAGTGCTGGTCTTTTCTACACATTCATATTCATGTGCTGTGTTTCACACTTTACATGCTTCTCGTTGATGCTCAAGTGTCCTTTCACAAATTGTGGGTGGTGTTATATATAATACCCTTCATTGGCAGTTCTTATTTATGTTCTTTTTTCCTTTGCTGGATACGAATATAATTTGTTGCTGCAGTGTCTCAATTATATCTAATGGGAGATTACCTGGATGCTGTGCTGTTTCCTCCGCTGTCTTAAAGGTCCCCTAATATACTGTTTTTCATCAATATATCATAGTTCTCAGATATATACAGAACCTGTCTCCGATTGGCTGAAACACCAAACAGATCATTGCAGCATTACCCATAATCCCCTCTGTTTCAGCCCTGTTTCCAAAAGTGCTGATTCTCTGTCTGTTACTTTAGATGAAAATAAGGAGCCCCTCCCCACGCCCCTCTGAGAGAGATTTGGTTACAAAAAACTCAATAGTGCTCTAGGAGGAGATTCAGGTGATAAGGTGGGGGGGGGGGTTACCTTGGTTGCTGATTGGCTAATGGTTACACAAGACAAAACATTGTTATGACATCATAAAGTGGTCCAAATCTGATCAGCTCATTTTCAGACAGGTTTTTATAGAAATGGATCAAAAAGAGAGAGAATCTTTGTTCCTGAAACTTTCAGAGTCTCTTTACACAGAGGGGACACATGTTGATGTAGAAGAGACATGAAGAAGAGGGGACACATGTTGATGTAGAAGAGACATGAAGAAGAGGGGACACATGTTGATGTAGAAGAGACACGAAGAAGAGGGGACACATGTTGATGTAGAAGAGACATGAAGAAGAGGGGACACATGTTGATGTAGAGGAGACATGGAGAAGAGGGGACACATGTTGATGTAGAAGAGACATGAAGAAGAGGGGACACATGTTGATGTAGAAGAGACATGAAGAAGAGGGGACACATGTTGATGTAGAAGACATGAAGAAGAGGGGACACATGTTGATGTAGAAGAGACATGAAGAAGAGGGGACACATGTTGATGTAAGAAGAGGGGACAACATGTTGATGTAGAAGAGACATGAAGAAGAGGGGACACATGTTGGATGTAGAGACATGAAGAAGAGGGGAACAAGGGTTAGATAGTATAAGAGAATGAAGAAGAGGGGACACATGTTGATGTAGAAGAGACATGAAGAAGAGGGGGACACATGTTGATGTAGAAGAGACATGAAGAAGAGGGGACACATGTTGATGTAAGAAGAGACATGAAGAAGAGGGGACACATGTTGATGTAGAAAGAGACATGAATAAGAGGGGACACATGTTTGATGTAGAAGAGACATGAAGAAGAGGGGACACATTTTGATGTAGAAGAGACATGAAGAAGAGGGGACACATTGATTAGAAGAGACATGAAGAAGAGTGGACACATGTTGATGTAGAAGAGACATGAAGAAGAGGGGACACATGTTGATGTTAGAAGAGCATGAAGAAGAGGGGACAACATGTTGATGTAGAAGAGACATGAAGAAGAGGGGACACATGTTGATGATAGAAGAGACATGAAGAAGAGGGGACACATGTGATGTAGAAGAGACATGAAGAAGAGGGGACACATGTTGATTAGAAGAGCATAAGAAGAGGGGACACATGTTGATGTAGAAGAGACATGAAGAAGAGTGGGACACATGTTGATGTAGAAGAGACATGAAGAAGAGGGGACACATGTTGATGTAGAAGAGACATGAAGAAGAGGGGACACATGTTGATGTAGAAGAGACATGAAGAAGAGGGGACACATGTTGATGTAGAAGAGACATGAAGAAGAGGGGACACATGTTGATGTAGAAGAGACATGAAGAAGAGGGGACACATGTTGATGTAGAAGAGACATGAAGAAGAGGGGACACATGTTGATGTAGAAGAGACATGAAGAAGAGGGGACACATGTTGATGTAGAAGAGACATGAAGAAGAGGGGACACATGTTGATGTAGAAGAGACATGAAGAAGAGGGGACACATGTTGATGTAGAAGAGACATGAAGAAGAGGGGACACATGTTGATGTAGAAGAGACATGAAGAAGAGGGGACACATGTTGATGTAGAAGAGACATGAAGAAGAGGGGACACATGTTGATGTAGAGGAGACATGAAGAAGAGGGACACGTGTTGATGTAGAAGAGACATGAAGAAGAGGGGACACATGTTGATGTAGAAGAGACATGAAGAAGAGGGGACACATGTTGATGTAGAAGAGACACGAAGAAGAGGGGACACATGTTGATGTAGAAGAGACATGAAGAAGAGGGGACACATGTTGATGTAGAAGAGACATGAAGAAGAGGGGACACATGTTGATGTAGAAGAGACACGAAGAAGAGGGGACACATGTTGATGTAGAAGAGACATGAAGAAGAGGGGACACATGTTGATGTAGAAGAGACATGAAGAAGAGGGGACACATGTTGATGTAGAAGAGACATGAAGAAGAGGGGACACATGTTGATGTAGAAGAGACATGAAGAAGAGGGGACACATGTTGATGTAGAAGAGACATGAAGAAGAGGATTTTGCATAATAGGTGACCTTTAACAACTCAATCGATTCACACCTCCTGAATGCTCAACTCCATCTCTTTCCTCCCGGTGTGTTCAGGAGCAGAGCCCCAGCAACGCCACATCCCTAGCGATGATGCAGGAGCCCCAGGAGGTGGTGGAGGAGACGGTCACCATCGAGGAGGACCCCGGCACCCCCACCTCCCACGTCTCCGTGGTCACCTCCGATGACGGCACTACACGGCGCACAGAAACAAAGGTAAGATGGAAGCCACGTCATAGACTAAGTGATCAGAATCAGGTTTAATGCCAGGTAGGTTTACACGTACAAGGAATTTGACTTGGTGTCGTGGTGCATAGAAACAAGAATTAAAGACACAGGAGAACTAGAAAAATATTTAAAATAATTAAAAATATATAGTCAAATATAGCAGTATTTACATTGCAATGGAATGAAATAGAGGAATAAAATATGGACGCACACAATGTACACAATATCTGTTTTCTTTGTTTTTATTACTGCCACATTTTATTCCATTCTATTTCTATATAAATACTGCTATATTTTATATTAAATTTAATATTTTTCTATGTTATTTTTTATGTATGCACCATAACATCAAGTCAAATTCCTCGTACATGTAAACCTACCTGGTAATAAACCTGTTTCTGATTCTGATTCTGAAAAGTGATAGAAAAAGGTATTTATTGACCAAGTTTCGTTTTCCGACCAACTTTCTATTGTTATTTAGTTGCAGAATTTAAACGATAAAACTAAAAGCAAGAGAAAAAATAAGAAAAATGTCATATTTTTAAACTGAATTGCCATTGAGTCCTCTCCTAATCATCTACCAGTACATCAAGGTGTGCATATGTACAATTATATTTACTTGAATGATATATTCTTTTAATAACCTCTAGTGTTTCTCCTTTAGCTCGTTAACAGAAGCGATTGACAGCGCTGAAATTAATACGTCATAGAAGGAAGATATCCATCGCTTGATAAATATATTATGTGGGGTTTCCATCATATTACAAACATATTTTTGGCTGCGGTTTAAACCAGGGAAAAGCATCCTTTTCTGATGGTTTAATAAGTTGAGTCATCGTTCAGCAATACACTTATTTTGTCCAACTTTGAGTGTTTTAGATGCTGTTCAAAAAGCTGTTTTGTAGTGCTACTTAGCATTAGAATAAAAAAAATTAGCTATAAAAGTGATTAATCTAATATAATCTCCTGTCTGCTTCCCACTATCACACCTGAGCAGGACTCCTCGGAGCGGTGGCTTTGTTGTGGCAAACAGATCCCATTGAGCTCGTAGATACAAAACCTTCCAAATCCCCTTTGATCCATTTCAATATTGCTTCAAATTATGGTTATGGATTAGCGCCTCCAAACAACACGGTACCGTACCTCCTCTCCCAGACTTCCTCAAGAACTCCGAATCCCATAATCCTCCAGCCCAAGGTGGTCTCATCTCCCTCTCACGGCTTCATTGATTTGATTATTGTGTTTATGACCCCGCTCCTCTGGTGTTTCTTTGCTTCTTAAAAGCTCTTTTGTTGATTTCGTCCTCTACTGTGTTTTGTTGTTTTTCTATAAGGATGTCTCCTCTAACGTGAAGGTGAGTAGACTTTCATACCAGTATAGCTTTTTCCCACCAACGCCACCATTTTAATGTGCAGCAGTGTGCACCACAGTCTGCTTCACCCCCAGCCAAATAATGCTCCAGTCTACTCTCTACAACAACACCGCTTGTTGCTTTTACCTTGCGGGACGAGAGCCATTCTCTATTCTGTTTTTAATATTTCTTTTGCATGGCCCTCTATTTCTCTCTTTTTTTATTTCTCTCTTCTGAATTCTGTCTTCCAACATCCCTCATTGACATTCAACTAGGTACAAAATACCACTTCTCAGAACTAATAACTAAATGTCCCCATACAGAATAATCAGAAATCTAAAGGTCTTTAGTAGGTAACTGTAATCTTTCAATTAAATCCACTTATTCACTATAACTAAGTCTCAGAATGATGTTTTTGCCAGCTGTAGCCTCGTGACAGCTTGGTCTTTATTTTCGAATTGTATTAACTACCAATTTTCTCGAACATTTGCCTCTCCAAGTAATTTTCCACCACTTTGAAGACCCCAAATAATTTAAGTGGCATCAGTTATCTGCAATTGCTGCAACCACAATGTCTTCTTCTTGGTGTCAGGTTGGGATTTTGAACAATTTCAGGTGTTTACAGCGTGTTTTGGAAGTATGCATTTCACTTCTAAGTCTGAATTCTTCCCTCTATATGCACGGGGAAGGATTCCCACCAGAATCCAAGACAGATTTTCATTTGAAAGACATGAATGAGATGGGGCTTCCTTTTTTGCTTCCAAGTTTTGCGTCAAATCCTCAAAGATACGCAGCATTTTGCTCCTGATTTGGATGTAAACGTCTGCACCGTTAATGCTGTATGCTTCCAGTGAGTCGGAGAGCACTGTGTGTGGGGCTCATACTCTAGGGACTGTGAAACTGTAATTAAAAAGCCTGGACTAATCCCTCATCAGGGAGGGCCCATTGCCCTCCAGCCTGTTTACTGTGAAGTGGGTTGGCCACACACACTCATACATACGGTAGACCTTCTTAGGGATAAAGCACTCGGCAGTCAGACAACACACTAATCAAGGAGCTTTACTGCTGAGGAAGGAAAGAGGAAGGACGTGCCTTTAAAGGGCCGGGAGGAGAATCTCTGGAAGTCACTTTGAGGAGAAAAGCAGATTAATGCTCAGGGTGAACTTCTAGCAGCCGGCGTATAAATGTGACGGCAAATAGATCCAGAAGGAGCCGAGAGTTTACCCAAAGTAACCCTCTCCTTGTCTTCCTCACTTTTTTTGTCCCCATCTCTCTGACTTACTTTCATGTGTAGTTTTCCACCCTCTCTCCGTTTCTATCTCTCCACTCATCTCACAGCAACTCAGTTTTATTTATGTGCTTATCTGTTCTTTTGAACCAAAGTCTTGCCATACTGTCTAATGCTAACACACTCCTTTCCCTTGATGGTTATGCCCCATCTCACTGCTGCAAGATGAAACACAGAACCCATCTTCCTGATTTGCAGGCAAAAAAAGTTTTTCTACTCTGATTTAGTATCGGCAACATTACTAGTTGGAGTACTGAGAAAGGAACAGACAGAGTTGTTGAATATGAGAGCAAAGGGAGTGTGTTTGCGCAGGGGGTCAGATTCAGTTTCTGCACACAAATTCAATGATTGCAGGAATCTTTTCATTTGCAATTGGAAAACAACTATGAACTAGGGATGGGAATTTGAAAGCAAATGTATATTCGAATATTCGACCCCCAAACAAACGGTTAACCGATTAACCGACATTTACAAATAAAAGATTAACAACATTTTTTATTTAATTAAATACAATTAAAAAAAATAGACTTTCAAATAACTATAGAAACCAAGTCGAATTTGTCAAATGTATTGAACTGGTGATCACAGTTGACAGCTATAGGCCTACAGCTTTCATGCTTAAAACATAACTTGGTTTTCTGATGGATTTGGACATAAACGCGAGTGAAGTATAACCGGACGAGAGAGAGAGATCAGCTGCAGCTCTGCCCGCTGTGAGGGGCCGGTGAGCGGAGCAAAACACACCTTTAGACCTAACACATTTATCTATGGCACTGTCGTATACATTGAATTATTCCATTTGATAATATGTAATCAACTTAGGCACCCCTCCCAAAAAATTAAAAATTACAATAAAAAATATTCATAACTCATATTGGAATACCTGAATAATTTTGAATATTCGATTAATCGTTCCCATCCCTACTATGAACAGCCTTTCAATTGCAGATTAACTGCTGGCTGTTGTTGTTTTCAATCAATTCAACTCATAGTGAATTGGCCCTGGACCCTGAATGAATGTACGAGCTAATTTAGATCCACGTCCGTCCTTCTGTCCCAGCCTGCCATGCTTTCCCTTGGCCATCATCCAGCCCTTTCTCCCTGATGGCAGCCGCTCTGAATGCAACACCGCTCATGTTGAAGGAAGAGCTCAGTTGGACCAGTGAAAGATACATTCCTCTCCCTTCCCTCTGGATATGAGCTAATGGGAGTCGAGGCAGACCACACAAACAAATAAAGCACTTTCACTACCATGCACACGCCGGGGAGCCGACTTTGAATAGGTAGAGGTTTGTTTAAAAGGTACAGCTGTTGAGGTGCTACTGTTGAATGGAACAGACCGAAGAACAGACACCTTTTTCTACTCAGAGAACTGACTCTCTCGGCTTCAATAAGCAGTCTTTAAAATATCCACAGGAGTGCAGGAAGAAAACTCTCTCAGATGATTGCTATGTAGCAAATGCTGGAAAACATATTTTAATTCTTTACTTAGTGAAAGTACTAATACCACACTGGGAGAATACAACATTTCAAGTGAATGTACTGCATCGAGAATGGTACTTAAGTAAAGTATTGAAGTATGATTAGGAAAATGTACTAAAGTATTTGGAGTAAAAGTAGTCATTGTAGGAAAAACTATGTAAAAACATATTTTATAACAAAATCAGCCAATTTTCACATTTAAGAAGCTGGAACTGTGAAATATTTTTGAACATAAAACTTCTTAACACAATTGCTGCCATTTTCTTTTCTGTTAACCCATTAATTGTTTTAGATACTTAAATTAATGTTGGATTGTTATTACCGAAAAGTTAAAATACATCTGTAAAATATATGTAGTGGAGCAAATAATACATACTTGGCTTCCAAAATGTAGAAGTATAAAGTACTATCAAATGAAAATACTACCTCAAATTTGCACAGTTCAGTTCTTGAATAAATGTACTTAGTTACTTTTCACCACTGTATGCAGCCCAGGATTGTACAAGTTATTCTCAAACCATGTTCATTAAAGCAACAGGTTGGAAGTACGTGTGTGCAAAATGAAATCTAATGCAGTTTACTGAGAGCTCTACCCACCCGTTCCTTTAAATCTAGGTGACCAAAGTGGTCAAAACCATCACCCGCCGCACCTACCACCCAGTCCTGGTGACTGACAGCTTGTCAGTGGAGTCCAGACCTGGCAACCGGACCCCCACCCCGGTCTCCAACTCCACCCCCACCCCAACGGAGACAGAGCCAGTAATGGACGCCTCGCCCTGCGTGATGTTTGCTGTGTTCCCCCCTCACCCGCCTGCCTCCTCCCTGTTCCTCTAACACAGGGGTGTCCAAATGTTTTTCACCAAGGGC